GGGTCGCAGCCGTGCGGAGCAGAGCAGCTGGAGGGGGGTGGGGGAGGCTGAGACAATGTCCAGTTCCGCGGGGAGATGTGAGAGGTTGGAGGGTGATAAGGGGGGAGGGGGGCAGGTGCTGATCGGGGGGTGCTGAGCTGGACCCCCCTTGATTCCCGTTGCAGGACCATGCCTTCCGCTTGCTGCAGCCCGGCGGGGTCCTCACCTACTGCAACCTGACCTCCTGGGGGGAGCTGCTGAAGACCAAGTACACCGACATCAAGAAGATGTTTGAGGTGAGCGGTCGTCACCGGGCTGGGGAGGACCTGGGGTCCCCCAGCCCAACCCGGGGTCCCCAATGCGGCCCCATCAGCATGCGTACCCCCTTTGTCCCCGCGCGGACGTTCTGGCCATGGAGCAGCAGAGCCAGAGCCCCCCACAGCCATTTGAGTCCTCTGTGGTGGTTGGGGCTCAGCGGGGAACGTTTGAGGGAGGGCAGAGGGTCTCCACAGGCCGGGGCTCAGCAGCGTCTCTGCTCACATCCAAGAAGCTCAAACCATCGCTGCTCCTTTCTCGCCCCTCCTCTCCCGCAGGAGACCCAGGTAGGGCACCTGGTGGAGGCCGGGTTCAAGAAGGAGAACATCAGCACGAAGGTGATGGACCTGGTCCCCCCCAAGGACTGCAGGTACTACTCCTTCCACAAGATGATCACACCCACCATCATTAAGCACTGAGGGTTCAGCCCGGCACCGTCCCTCGGGGCTGCCCCAAAGCTGCAGGAAGCAAACGCTAACGAGGAGAGGCTGATTATGTGCACTTCGAGGAGGAGAAAAGCTCTTATCTCCATTGACGCTCCTGAGAGAAGCTTGAGGCTGATTTATCTCATGAGAAACGACTGAAGCTGATTTATCAGGAGGCAGGAGATGGCTGGAGGCTTGGGATGGAAGTCCTGGGTCTTCAGAGGACCTCCTGGACAAAAGGACCGGGGACTCCCTGCCCCGTCACCGTTGTCACCCAATGCAGCCTCTGGCCCCGGAGGGGTCCCACCTGCGTCCGTCCCAGAGGCCCCACTCCAGACTCCAAACATCAGCTGAGCTGTGACTCAAAAGCAGCTCAGAGTCTGTAGCCAAAGGGGCTTCAAGGATGGGACGTTTCTTCTAAAAACTGGATCGTTTTTAGAAACGGCAGAGGGCCTTTCCACACACACACACGCCAAATAATCGAAACCAGGTGGGAGAAACGGGGCAGGCGGGGCAGTTGGAGGCATTTCGTTAGAATGGGATTTCGGCTGCTCCTGGAACAACCGCCCCGGTGAAGTTTCCCCGATACTTTCAGCTAAAGCCCATCGTAGAGTTGTTATTCTGACAACCTCCTCGCAGTTCAATGGCACATAAACGACGCTTTCTCTCTCTACCCAGAAGGGATAAAAATCCATTAAAGAGGAATGAAACACACGGACTGCTGTTTCTCGTCTCTGGAAAGCGCGCGTGCAGTCCTGCAGTGACTGTTCCCCGTCCCACCCTGACGGGAGAACACAGCGGGCTCCCGGGACCCGTCCAGCGCCAAAGCCTCCCGCGGGCTGCTCTGTTCCTACTGCGCCAAGGAGTGCTGCTGCATCCATTTTTATTAGTCGTATTCTGGTTTTAAACGTTAATATTCTACATTATAGAAATAGAACTAATTTCTGGCCGCCGTGCACACGGATATAAAGGATTTATTAGATCCTTTGTAGGAATTGTAAACACGGAGCAGTGGGGAGTACGAGACGAGCTCAGGGAGGCGTCGGGGCTCACCGGGGTGTGCGCTGGTCTCAACCCTTCCTAGCAAAGCCACAGCGCAAGTCCCGAGTTTCCGGCAGGGCGTTTGTGTCACGATAGGTAACTTCAAACATCCTCCTTCCCAGAAGACAACACCCAATGTCATCAAATTCAACTCCAGCTTTTTAATTCAGTTTCTAACCGAGTTAAAAACTTTAGATAAGAGGGATATATTAAAGACGGAAGAGCATCTTAACCAGGTAGAGATTTATTGGAAGGCTCGTGAGAACAGAGATTTCTTGTGCGTACGAATGCAAGCAGGTCCCCCGGGGGGGCAGTGAGTGGGCAGGTCATAAATAAGAGGCTATTTCCTGTACCAGATCTGGATCTTCTTCTCCCGTTTGATTTTCTTCTGAAGCTGAAGGATTCCATAGAGCAGAGCTTCAGCGGTAGGTGGGCAACCTGAGAGAGAGAGAGAAAACAGAAGCCCGCGGGGCTGCCAGCTGCACTGAAAGGCAGCGGCAGAAGGAGAACCGACAAGCCCCGGGCTTTACCCCAAAGCAGGCTGTGACTCCCCTCCGGCTTTGTGCACGTCACGGGCTGCGGAGTTCATAAAAGCACGAGAGCTGCTTGAGTTTAAAGAAACTAAAGCGATGGCGTTTTTCGCAAAGGTCTTTACAAAATGCTTTGCTTTTAAGCAAGGCGGTCTCCGACAGGAGAGCACGTCGCTGACTGAACTACAGCCCACACGTTACACAACAGTTACTGGTGAGTAAAGTCACCAGAGGAACTCCACCCGCTTACTGGAGATCCCGGGCAGATCTTACTGAAGCATCTGCAGCTTTAGTGACACAGTTTGAAACAGAAAAAAAATCTTTAAAAACTACACCAAGCACCGTCCAAATGTACAGAATTCACTTGGCTCCTGTCCTGCTCCAAGTCAGCGCCATGGCAGGCAGAGCTCGCCTTTCCTACCTGGCACGTAGATGTCCACCGGCACAATGCGGTCGCAGCCGCGCACCACGGAGTAGGAGTAGTGGTAATAACCGCCGCCGTTGGCACAGCTGCAAGAAACAGGCGGGTTTCAGCGCGTTGTTAGATGCGGCTCAGCAGCCTGCGGGAAGGACGAGCAGGAGGCAGAGGAGAGGGTGAAGCTGGCACCCGTGCGCCACGAGGCAAGGAGCCGCCCGGCCGGAGCGGAGGCCAAGGCTTACGCCGGGGCCACTCAGCCTCTTCACAAGCCCCGGCGGGAAGGCAGGCGACCAAATCGAGCCGTTTTCGTTACTCTTACAAAGCAGATATTCAGAGGGTCCCTCTTCTCTACTGCAAAACCTTTTTTATTTTGCCATGTCTGAACAGAGCGTTTCTACAACTCGATCTGCGCCCTCCAGGCCCTGGTGAAACGGCCGTCCTCGGGCCCAGCAGCTCCGGGAAACCAACAAGTTGTCAGTTCCACCACGCCAGAGCTCCACAGAGCTCAGATTTTATGCCGCACAGTAGCACAGTAGAAGCATTTTGAAGTATTTTCATCTAAATGCAAATTCTGAGATTCTGGACATGCACAAGTCCCCAGACTCTGACAGCTGCAAACCCCCCCGAATCTTTCACTGGGAAGACTTTGCAGTTCACAGCGACTTGACAGACATCATTCTCCCCATCCACACAAAGGCAGTCTTTATGTTTCACTTGTGAGAAGGCCTCTTTATATAACTTAAGGGGTTGGAAACACAAATGAGAAACGGGTTCCCCTCCCTTCGTCTCCCATGCAGCACAAGGCGACAAGGACGTCCCGGCACTTACCTCCCCATGGAGACCACGTAGCGAGGCTCCGGCATCTGGTCGTAGACCTGCACAACACAGACATTTCACACCGTTTTCCGTTTGCATCCAGCGCGCGCGGCCGTGCGCGTGGCATCCACTGCAGTCCGTACCTTTCGAAGAGCTGGAGCCATTTTGTTCGTTAGGGTGCCGGCCACAATCATGACATCAGCTTGCCGGGGACTAGCTCGAAACACCACCCCAAAGCGGTCCATGTCGTAGCGAGGAGCCGCCATGTGCATCATCTCCACGGCGCAGCACGCCAGGCCAAACGTCATCGGCCATAAGGAGCTCTGCAGCAGGAGAGAGGCGGGTTACGGGTAAGAACGCTGAACGAGGGAGCGGAGACGCTGTGCGGGCAACTGAAAGGACAAGAGCTGATCAGACAGAAATGGAAACAGAACAAAAGTTTCAAGGTCTGTTTAGGCAGAGCATCACAAATGAAAACGGTGTTTGCCATTACACAGGAGAGCAAAACCCACAGCTCCGGGGAAATAGATGCGCGGAGATCCGTGTGTTTGCAGCCTTGGAGATGCTGAATGCGCTCAAAGCCACAGACGCTCCCCCTTACATCTCACTCTGCTAAAACAGCCACCTGAGAAGCCCCACACGAGGGCAGCGGTGACGGGAGAAGGCAAAACTCAGGAAGCCCGAGCACACTGGGTTCAGGGCAGCGCCGCTCGTGCGGCCTTCTCGGCAGCACGGAGCAGCTGCTCGTGACAAGGACTACGTGAACCAGCGAGTGCCTGTTACCGAAGGGCAGCTGGGTTCCGACAGGCAGCCCGCGCTGCTCTGCACCACCCTCGCATGGAGCGTCTCTCCCGCTCTGACACAGTACCCTAAATGTCAACCGGTGGCCAAGAAACTTGGCTATTTCCCCGCGGAGAATTTTGAACCTATTTTTATCCTGAGGAGGAGATGGCTGAAATGCATTTCCCACCAGCACCTCAAAGCATTCGATACCGTTTCTCCCCAGCGAGCACGATAGTTTCGGCGACTCACCCTTCGCGCCCAGTTGATCAGGTCATCGAGTTTGGTGACAATATATTCGCCTCTGCTAGCGGGGACGTAGGATTTTTTCTGGACAACAGCTGAGCTCTTTTGCTGAACTTGGACAGAGCTGAAGACAAACGGCGCAGTAGTATCAGTCTCCAATTATTAAGTGTAACTGCAGAATACAATCATTAGCCTCAAGGAGCTGTGATCCCATAAAGAATCCGTGGTACATTGCTTATGGACAACATCACACCCTCTGTGTTTATAACAGGGTTTTGCCCCTGACTGTGGGGAGGTCTGTGGAGCGGTGCTGCTCAGGCAGAGTCCCTCTGTTCTCTGTACCCAAACGACGGAGGGTGCCTGGCTGGCCCATCCCCGGGGCTCACAGGCTGACGGCAGCCTGCCAGTTAATCCCGGCTTTTAAGAAGTGAAGTGAGGAAAAAAACTGCCACATGTACGCAGCAGAGCTACCGCAAACAGGCGGCTTCTTCCCCTGTCCCGCTCGGGATCCCCCACCCGCGGGAGGAAGGCCGCAGCCGAGGAACCTGCCCTGGAGCCCGGCGTTACCTGTCAGCGTGGTCGGCAGCCGGCGTCTGATGCAGCAGCTGAGCGTGAACTATATCACCCCACGGGTCTTGGGAAAAAGAGAAGCCGTTGAAGTTCCGCGTGACATGGTCGCAGAGCCCCCCACTGCCCCCCCAGCACACACTGCTGCTCTCCCTGGCCCAGTGTCCTGGACACAGGACTGATTTTTCTTCTAACGCTTGGGAAAATGGCACTTTTAGAAGACTCTAGTGTCTGAATTGGTGAAAATATTGACTTTATAGCCAGCTATGGTGTGTGGGTTTCAAGGTCTCAGTGTTTTCGAGCTCGCCAGGTGCGGGGATGAGGAGGAGTGAGACCTGGGCACTGCACCCAAGCTGCCCAACAGGATTATTGCATACCATGAACGGCACATTCGCTATAAATTAGAAAGTTTGCTGCAAAGTGCTCTCTCTCCCTTGGTGGCTGCCATCCTGAGAACTCCTCATCCCGGTGCCACAGCCCTGAGCCCTTCCCTTCCTCCCAAAGCAGAGTGCTCACAGGGTCCCACGTTTGCTGTCACTGCTGGGAGTGCACAGGTTCTACGGATAGAACAGGCTGGGTATGGTCCTTGTGTATTT